TAAAGAGAGAAGTGAGAAACAGCCTTTCGATTTCTACCCATGTGGATCTCGCAGCCTACCTAACGACTGTGAAAATGCTGAAAAACGCATTCCACGCACGAACAGCACCGATCCTTCTCCACCGACTAAATCAAGGCATAAACACCTCTCTCTCTCTCACACGACTACGATCAAGAACTACAAAACGCCTGCATGGGCGGTTGAAGGTACAGCAGAGAGGCATTGAGGAACGAACGGGCAACGCCATTACAAAACAGTGGCACTATTCCTTCACGTCAGTTGACCTTTCGTTACTCCATGCCTCTCCGGAACATCATAAACTAATTCCGGCAGCCCCGGCGCTCGGTCCGCGATCATGCCGCCGCTGCAGTTGTCCCAGCCGGACGTGACGTCATGGGGCCAGCGGCCCCGCTGCACCGCGCACAGGCCTTGGTTTAACGTCGCGATCTGGGGTCCCCGGCCAGGTCCAAGGGCTGTTTTAGGCGTCACCCTTTTGCCCCTTTGGGTGCCTCGTCTCGTCACATTACAAAATACCCTTCTTCGTAGAAGAGATCAATATATCTCCGAGGTTGAGCATCGGTGGATAGCGGACCTTCAAATGCAACACTGGTTCCCCTTCTATCGTCGAATGTTTTTAAAAAAGTACGAGACTAGGTCAAAGGTTAAAATGTATTAATTTCAAGAAAACTCACTAGTCAGAGAATTTTAACAAGCCGACGCGTTTCGACCCGTAAGGTCATCATTAGGGACGCGACTCTTCTCTGATTCTTTGATGCAACGCGTCTTTTCCCATATTACTCGTGACTTATCTGTTTCATTGAAACTATGTGATTAAAAAACGAAAAGTTCTCCCAAATGTTTGTCCATCGATACAGGTCGTGAACATGAACGACTTCCTTTTGTACTAGTACAGCGCACCAGTCGCCATGGATGACCAGTCATCCATGATAGCATACTCTGAGTGTAATAACGATCTCTCCAACGACTAGGTTATTAGGGTGGTCTTTAAACCATTTTTTCCTCGAATGATGTGAGAGTAGATACTCCTCCTCCAGCGCTTCCAAAATTCTTGGGTCATGAGCTCTATCAGCGTCCAATGCTGGACGCGGTTGAACTCCCTAGGGTCCATGGCCGGCTGAGCGATGCAAGGCAGGGGTCACCCAGTCCAAAAATGGTCCGGACCAACGGATTCAGATCATTCGGGTCGGACGAACGGGACGACAGGGGGCGCGAATTCAGAATCGCTTCGACACGGCAACAGAGTACCCATTGTAAAATTTATTGTGATTTTGCTTATTTAAAGTACTTATTAAAAAATGTACTGTAATCTTGTTTTTTGTTGAAGTACTTGTTGTAAAATTTACTGTAATTCTGCTTATTTGAAGTATTTGTTGTGAAATGGGCCTGTTGCAAACTTTTGCTAGAGCAAAACTAAGAGTTGTTCCTTACAGATAATGCTTCAAAAATCACGATGAGCGCATCGGCAAAGTCTGAAATGCACTCATAACTTCACAATCTGCCCAAGAAATTTGCGGTTTTTTGAGCTTCCCGCTTCGAAAACGATACTACGGTACAGGTAAACATTTTGTTAGAGGAGTCGTTCCATTGGCGGCAATACTCATCATGGCCGACGCCAGTCCGCCGAAACACCTGTGATGGGACGAGATAACATCTGAACAGGATTAAACCAGATAACAATCGGCGTGTTTACGTTTATATTTTCCTCGCCCGCCTTAATTGATCTTGAACTCTCCTCGAATTACTCGCGGAACTGCGCAAGCGTCGGCCATGATGAATATTGCCGACGACGGAGGGACTCATCTAACAAAATGTTCACCTGTGCAGTAGTATCGTTTTTGAAGCGGGAAGCTCAAAATAACGCAAATTTCTTACGCAGATTGTGAATTTATGAGTGCATTTCAGACTTTGCCGATGCGCTCATCGTGATTTTTGAGGCATCATCTATAGGAAACAACTCTTCATTCTGCTCTAGCAAAAGTTTGCAACAGGCCCATTTACTGTAACTTTGCTTATTTGAAGTTCTTGTTGAATATGTACTGTAATTTCACTTATACTCTTCTGTAAAGCTTCACCAACCGAGGGGGCGGGGCTGTTGAAGTAATTGTAGGGAATTTTTCATTCTTGCGGGATTTTTTGTTTTTCCCTTTTCCCCTCTTATTGTTCACTCTGACAACCCCCCACCCCCCGCTTGTGTGTGACTCTTCATTCGGAGTAGTTTTCATGTATGTCCGTTTTGCTTTGTAAAGTTCATGAATAAATTTATCTCGGGGCCGGTGGGACTCTTCCTCACTATTAACTGCGATTTTTCATTTCATTCTGGTCTCCGATTCCAATAAAAAGAACGCAGATTTTCATTTCCTTCATGGTATAATAACATTTTATGTAGAAATTTCACTCGAGTATTTGATCATTTGTTTTATTAGTATTTTAATTTTTTGCTTTTATACTTCAATTTTTTGCAAATAGTACACATTAACAAAAGGATGTGATAACATGGTATTTACTTTTCAACTTAATGAAAAAATTAAACACTAAGAAGTGGCCCGAACTGTATGTAACAAGGTGGAGAACTTATTTGGAGAACTTTAAACTTATTTTAACTCTTTTCAACTTATTTGGTCGATTTTCAAAGAATACTACAGGAATTAATGAAAGAGAAAAAGTGAGTTTTCTTATTTCTTTATTAACTCTGATGACAAGGGAAATACTAGTTATTGCGACAAGGTTGAAACTTCTTTGAAGTATCATTAGGAAAGAAGGTTCCCCAACCATCCCGAAAAACAATTTTAAAAAAAATTGAAAGCCGAAATTATAAATAATAATTTTAGGGTGGAAAAATAGGGGTGAACCTTTTGAAAATTAGTTGGCCACGGCATTTATAGGGGACAGAGGTAACTGCTATCTTCATTAATTGAGTAAGCCTAAAATTACGCAAGATCCGATATTGATTGGTACACACTTAACTTAAATTGCTTGAAATTTTTAATGGCGGCACTGCCCTACAGTGTGTACACCTTGATAATGAGTGTAAAATGTGGAGTGCGGCAAAGTTAGCGAAGTTTGAGGTCTAAGAAAGATTCGCGCGAAACAGATTCTCAATCAGTAAATAAGGTTTCTGTTCGAACACGGCAGTTATTGCCACAAGCAACAGAGGCAAACCAAAGACAATTATTTCCTTCAAGTATGATAAAATAACGATAAGATAACGAAATCAACACTAAAATTTGTCTCTTTATTTTTCCCTAATATTTTCCATTACCTTGGAAAAAAACACATTGGATCTTGAGTCCAGACTCTTGAAAACATTAACAAGAAAAAATACTCTTGATTCAATTGGATTTTTGCTTGAATCGAAACGAAATCCGCTGAAATTAAGAGGCTTGGTTCTTGATTTAAGCTAGATTCTGATTGAATCAAGAGTACTTTTTCTTGTCGATGTTTTTAAGAGTCTTGACTCTAGATCCAATGTGTTTTTTTTCCATTGTATGTGCAGTAGAGGTGAGCTTTTATTGCACCATCATCTATGAAATGATCAGGAACAATGCTTCTCGTAAAATCAATGAAATCAGGACATTCAGCGATTTAATTATCCCCAGAGGCTTCGAAGTCATCGGAGTCCTCACAGTCCTCCCAATCAGACGATAGGTTGTGGCATAGGGTGACTTCTGAATAAAGACCGGTTAGGTCCAGCTCATTGGGGGTTTTATTAATAGCAGTTTTCAATTTATGGTGGTTCCACTGATCTTTGAAAACACCAAGACTTCTCTAAATCAGAGGTAGAAAAATATATGCAATAGCTCGAACAACGGAAGTCCTCTATTTTCAACTGCTCGTTGTTGGAGGAGAGATTCCCTCGCAGAATTCCCCCGCCGACGATCAGCAGGCCAAAGCTGGCCAAGTCTCGTACCAATCATGATCAGTAACGACCAGACTTGAATGAAAACCTGTGACATTTTTCTTTACATGTTGTTTAGAGGGGCAAGAACTAACACAGAACAATAATGCACAGTAGATTTTTATTCAAATTCATAACTTAGAATTACAGGTCAATCACAAGTTACAAAATTCTAATCTAAGCATACTTTACAAACCACCTTAAATACACGTTTGAGGACAACTCCCCAAGTACAGTGGAATTTCTTAGTTTTTCTGTGAATATTTTTTTGTAACCCGCGTTAAAGTCACTGAGCAGCATGACTAAATACCTCCACTATTCATCGCAATTGTAGCAAACGAGCATCTTAATATGGTTGAATGACCTAGATTCTGAGGCATCTATATTGCCAACCTCTATCAAATTGTGAGAACCGCCCAATTCTTGTCAAGCACGATTTATAGAATGATGGATCTATGATGGCCAAAACTGAACTGGTTATGTAAGCAACTCATGGCATAATCGCGCAACGTTAGTTTCATTTTTTACTTGATGTTAGAAGAAGTATTGTTTAAAACTCTTAACATAATAAAACCAGACCGGAAAGGAAACATTATGTAGCATCCTCTGAAGTAAAATCTGCGAAAGACCCAGTTCATCCATATTTATTTTTTTTCGGCATCATCGTTCCTCTTTTATGCCATACGCAAAATTCTGGACATTTTATATGTTTGAATTTTTTAAGGATCTTTTTCTATTTGTGATCTAAGGATATTCAAGAAATTTTCAACGCTGCACTAGCCCTGTAATTATTTGCACTGTTTTCGTTGCTTTTATCATGCACGGAGTGAAAAACCTCGTGCGTGGGACCCGAAGTTTAGGTCATGTGGATCTCTGAAGTTTTCAGATTGAGCATGTGAACACTTCAGGTCCAGCTGCTGAGGCTCGGATCACACACCTGAAACTTCAGTTTTTACATATGAAGAACTGCAGATGTAAGAACCGAAGTTTTTCGGTTGAGAGAACCGAAGTACTTCAGATGTAAGAACTGAAGTTTCAGACGTGTGATCCGAACCTCGACAGCTAGACCTAATGTGTTCAGGTGCTCAATCTGAAAACTTCAGAGATCCATATGATCTAATCTTCGGGTTCCACGCACGAGGTTTTTTTCTCCGTGTGGAGATTCCTTTTATTTCCCCATTGGTCAACTAAATCAGCCTTTTACCACTACTTGATTATGAATTTATTCTGAACTATTTTCAGAAATCCTTCGAGTCAATATTGAATGTGTGTCATTTCGTTTTCCCGCGCCTACAGGGTTATTCCGAAGTCACGCACCACTGGCCTTAACTTTAGCTCTAATCAAGGTACCGACTTGCGGTTTATGAAATTTTTCCTCATATCGAGGGGAAAACTTTTTTTAGGTACTTTCCAGTTTTTTACCCCCCGGTGGGGGAGGGGGGGGGGGCAACTCTAAAATTCAAATGGCCGGCCCCCTCACGGCCAGTGGTGCGTGACTTTTGAATAACCCTGTATACTAACAGATTCAAGCCTGTCAACAAGAAGCTTGTGGGAAGTAATCGCTATCGAACTTGGATCGATAGGCTCTCTTGCCATTGGTCTGACCGGAGTCTATATACCTTGCAGTCTCTGCTCAGAGACAACTAGATCGCATTTAACGGAAGGGAATCAGCCTGATCATATTGTTGTTTTCCAAGTCTTTGAAATCCTTCTTTCTTTTAAGTATTATTGAATACTTGGACAGGAAAAAATAGTACACGATCGTTTTGCTTTGGAATCGTCAGTTATTTGATGGAAAAACTGAAACTACCCGTCACTCTTAGCATATATTTCAGACGCATGATTTTGACTACACTAATGGAACAATGGACATTACTCATGTCATACATAATGATCGACGGATAAGAAAACATCAAAATGGAGTAATCCTATTGATTGATACCGGCGTTTGTCGAAAACCAAAGGCGAAACCGATAGACTAACTTAAAGGGTTTCGCTCAAGTTGCCGTCTCTAATTTTACTTCCCGTCTTTGTCCATCGCAACTACCTGCTTTCACCGAGAGGATAGTTTTATTTCCTTCCTTTGTCTATTGTTTTGTCTATAAATTTCAACAACCAGCGTGCTGGTCCCTTTCTGTTAGATGCGATCCGAATGACTTCTGCCCTAGAGGACCTTTATAGATAGAGTAGGGCCACTGAAGATTCACTAAGGAGGCCTTAATGGAGCTCCTAGGATCCTGAAAAATAGCAGACGTCACACTCGGATATAATTAGTTTTGCAAGGAGTACGGAGGTTTACATTTTTACTCAGTTTCAATCGAATGTTGTGCATTATGTTAGGAAACGCCTTTTTAACTTGAACATCTATAGCCGGGTTGGTTATAGGTGGAGCAGGTGACAGTCGTCAAAGCTTCCAACATCTGTTTCTCACCCGCTCCCACCGAGAGTCGCCGCCATTTTAGCTCCACGGAGCCCAGTGTTCATACTCTCCCGAGAAAGGTACTCGTTCTCTTCGCAGTGCTGCCGTTTCCTGGAATTAATTCAGAGTTTCGCAAATTTGCACGGAATCCTCGGAATTTTCCGCTACACGGAGGAAATTAAATCGTTGATTTAACAATTCAATTGCTAAAAAAAGTGACTGCAAAGTTTCAATGTAGATTTTACAACACAAAAATGTTTTTTTAACGATCCCCGTGGGTAAATTAGCGTACAATAGTGGTCAAAGTTGTATTTCTTTGTTGTAATATCTACGTTGAGACGTTGCAGTCACTTCTTTCCACAATTGAATTTTTGAATCAGCAATTTAATTTTTTCGTGAATATTTGCGGAATTTCCTCGGAATCTCGGTTTTTTTTTTCTTACCGGTGTGGCCGATTATTCGATCAAATCGAATGATTTTCGGTTCAAATATGACGATCTCTCGAACTCCACCCGTGCATATGAAGAAATCTTTCTCCGGAACTTGCGAAGATACGGAAATTTTGGATATCTGAATTAATTCCGGGAACTCCGGCATCTCCGGTACAATTTGATGGCAGCACCGCTTTTTCCTCCGGGGGATAGCCAAGCCCCGTCCGCCGTGACCTCGAGCGACCCCTACTTTTACGAAGACGCGCATCAAGCGCGGAGCGTGTGGGACGTTCGTTAGGAGGAGGACGAGCTGGTGATCTGGCGCTCGTGGTCGTGCGTGTGGACGCTGTGATCCTCGGTCGTCATCGAGAGGTCCTGGGCTACGTCTTCGTCTCCGTCGTCCGGTTCCTCCGGGCGAGCGGACCGGGGGTCCGGGGGCCGCCCGTAGTCGGCTCCTGTCTCGCGCGCCGCCTCGCACTTCCCGTAGTCGCCGCTCCGGTGCTTCTCGGTCGGGGGGCCCGAAGGCGATATCGACATGTTTTCTGGTTGGACGTCGTCCTCGTGACTGTTTAGACAACCGAACCAAGATTTCAAGTTAGTATCAGCTTTAAGTATCAATATAAAATGGATTGCATTTTGCAAAAAGGAACCACTAGCATTGCAAAGTTGCAAAGATTGTGCAACTTCTTTTGTCTTGGAGGATAAACCCGATTATCCATTGATAGTTTCTATTTTAAACTTTTACGTAAGAATCAACAGTCAAATCGCAAATTCCTCACACATGCAACATCTCCATTGTCCAACCGTAATCGGAGATTAAACGCGGCCCGATTTTGAGCGTAATCGATCCTCTGTCCTTATTGGACGACTTAAGTTTTGGTCGCTTGCAAACGGAATATAAACAATAAGTGCCAACTTAGCTGATAGTACTAGCTGTAACTCATCTTATTAACGTCCAGGGTATTAGTATGAAAGATAATGACGGGGATGCCTTCGTATCAAACAGAAATGATGATCATCTCCAACAAAAATGATGCTAATATAATGTTTCCCATACCTCAGGGCGGTTGGTGATTTCATCGTGTAGTTATTGTTCCTAGAAGGGCTGCTCTCAAGATACGATAGATAGTTCGCTTCTTCCTAAAATCGTAAAGAGGAGACATGTTAGTGAGATCAGCCAAAACTTCCTTTAATTTTTGATCAATCATAACTTGTATCTTTTGGGCCTGCTGTTGCTGATATGTTTGCTGATATATATTCACGGCAACGTGACACTGTAAGACAGTCTCTTAATGTACAGAATCATGTTTCGATGGTTTTCTGTTTTTTTGTCACGTTTTTGTTGCTTCTCATCAATAATTTTCTCTGAATTATTTTTTACAAGTTACTGAAAATATGCCAAACAGGGCCCAAATGTTTACGAAGAGATACGTTGTGAAAAGGCACACAGATATAAAAGGTGTGCTCTGGCTGGTGGCATTGCTGGGATCCTACATTTGGCATTCATCCTTCAATGTTTGGGACTTTAGAATCCTTTTGGATTTTTAGAGTCTTATAATAAAATCTTTCTCCGTCCTTATTTTACAAATGCATTTTTTCTCGGGCCTCTTACGTTTTTAGTAATTTTTATGTTTACTGTTTGCTTTTTTCGTTAATTTAAGTCAACTCTGGGAATTTTTGTGAACCAGAAACAGTTGACATTCTGGCGTGTCGCTCATGAACCTTAAAAGTACCCTGTCCTGTCAGTCGAATTATCTGAATGGGTCACGAAGCATCACGAATAGATCGGAGAAGCTGGCGGGGTTATAACTCTCAACTGGACCGAACAATTATGGTCGCAAGTTGCAGGTCTCTTCCTATGGAGGTACAACTTTCAGACCTCTTCCCTTTTTCACAATGTGGGATTTACGTCCAGAAATGACGCGAGCCAATGAGAAAAAGGGAGTCGGGAATGAGCAAGATGACCGGCAAGGGCCGGTTGGCGCAAGGGAAGGGTTACAGGTGCCCTAGCCAAGTTACCGAAAGTTTCATTTTCTCGGTCTTCAATTTTCCGTGCCAGAGAAAAATTCTGTTCAAAGAATTAAGACAAAAAATAATCTCCGACACATATACCATGCTTCACGCTCATATTGCCAGTCAATCTTCGCAGCATGCATCCCAAAGATTTTCAAAGGGTGGGATTCGCACCTTCCTCAACTTCTGCTTGATCTATACAGACGCCATTACATTTCACCTTTCTTTTTTTCTTTGTTAATATAGTCGAAGTTCAGCTATACTCAACGAATCCCATGGTTTTAATACCATCGGTTATGTGAATCTCATGTGCTAGTTCGGATCAGCGTGAATTCAGTACTCACTTGGGCTCAAATGCCAGCTTCTCAACAATACCCATTACGTGCACCTGAAGAATGATCCTTTAATTCTTGAACCAATGCGCCGCATTCGTTCTACCAAGACATTATCGCCGCATGTTGATCCGGTACCGTAGATGGTATCTCAAGTATGGGATCTCAAATATGAGAGTTACTTACTTACTTAGCGAGCAACGTACGCTGGAAAAAAAAAAAAAAAAAAAAAAAAAAAACAAATTTGATCTAGAGTCCAGACTCTTAAAAACATCGACAAGAATAAATACTCTTGATTCAATCAGATTTAAGCTTAAATTAAAAACCAAGCCTCCTAATTTGAGAGGAGTTCCTTTTGATTTAAGCTTAAATCTGATTGAATCAAGAGTCCTTTTTTTCTTGTCAATATTTTCAAGAGTCTAGACTCTAGATCCAATGTGTTTTTTTTTCCCAGTGTAATAGCGATGGGTTATCCAGCCGCTAAAATAGAGGAATTCTATCAAAATCGAAGGTAATATGAGTACTACTAAGGACCACTAAAATCCCTCGTAAATGTGTTTCTCCAAACTGTAATTTTTTACGCCAATTTTTCAGTACTGAATGTGCACGATCCTTTCATGTGTGTGATTTGTGAAACGGCGTGTATTAGTGACCGCTGAGTTCAATGACGCGACTCACCGGGCAAGGCTCTGCGTCTTCGAGGTGAATACACTAACTTGAAATATTTACCTGAGCACTGGTGTTGTGAGAGTCGTAAAGTCTTGGACTTTTGATTATCGGCGAGCTGTCGTCTGATTGAGCATCTCTGGAAAAACAAAAATCGAAGAAAGACTTCAAGACCTTGAGGAGACAAACGATGGGCTATTGAGACAGTTCGATTCAACTTTTCATACAATTTGATCTGACTAGCAGTTTGGGAAACATGATCTCAAAAGCAAATTGCGTTTTAGGCCGAATTTTAAATAGTTTTCTTCAGAAATGGCCATTTTAGTCGTAAGCAGTTTTTGTCGTGGAAAAGCACAGTAAGTAATGTCTTTGCTTCAACGTGTAGCCCAAAACTACGCACGATATATTTGTATATGTCTTTGTGGAAGACCATCAACCGCTAAAATTTTCATTAAAATTGTATTTAGTATTGAAATTATGCAAATACATTTTTATATCCAGCGAATAAATGTAATTGATTCTCCATGTATTGTTTGTTAATCGGCCCTGCAAAAGAGGGGCAACATGTATCATCAAATATAAATGTTAATGTGTGCTGTAACTTGCAAAACTACGTTGTTCGCAGTCAAAAATTGCATCTTTCAATTTAGATCATGCATCATGCGGCTTATAGTAAAGAGCATTAAGCTGTGAAAGTGATGTTAAAATGGAAAAGCACCCCCCTAAGTTCCCCTCGACTTCTCATGCCAGTCCATTTTTCCTAGAACCTCTACCTCGCCGTTTTTTTCTCGGCTGGATAAATTTTTTATTCCCGTTGTAACCCAGCCATATTTTCATCAAAGCATCTTACATTGATTAGCGTCCAGTCGCGCCTCCATTTTCTGTTTTTCACTCGAAATTTTGCTTGATTTTTTCTTCCTTCAGACGAAAGAAACATTTATTTCCACGCTAAAAAAGCGCACGGCGTCACTCCTCCTGCGATTGTCATTTTCCAGATGACGTGCTCGGCAATGTTACACGTCTAGGTAACCGAGTCACTCGTTAAGGTAACTATGCCACGCGCACAGGTACCTATGCTACAATTGCCACACGCACAGGATACACCTATGCGCGTAGCATAGTTACCTCAACGAGTGACTCGGTTACCTAGACGTGTAACATTGCCGAGCAGGTCATCTGGAAAATGACAACCGCGAAGGGAGTGACACCGTGCGCTTTTTTCTAGCCTGCAGTCTTAGTCTTAAAAGCTCTTTACGTAAAGAGTCAAGGAATATCTTATGTCTATAAGAGGGAGAGGGTCATTAGAAATACAATCACACAAAAGCCATGCACATTTTTTGAGCAAAAATGTTGGATTCATCTCCAATCAGGCGTTTCGCACTGAAGCTTACTTTCATGCGTGAACATGCGTAGGTAACTAAGGATGACCGTGAACATGTTAACTGATCAAACCGTATTTTTAATTATCGACTAGCACGGAGAATCAAGTCAAATTATTATTCTTCTCGTGCATTTGAATGCCTCTACAGCTGAAAGAACTTGAGCATCACTAGGTTCGCGCGAGTGTCATTGAACCAATCACTCATGCTATTTCATGGTGGTTTGGAATCAGTGCCTAGGCTGATTATGATGTTTGGTGCAATTCATGACCTTCGATTTTCTTTTTTTTGTAATTTATGATTTAGTTTTGAGTATTTAAGCACAGAAATTTATCAAGTTTTTATGATATATCACCGTATAGCCTGTACGGCGTACAAGCTGAAACTTCTTAGCTCGTGCCATCCATCTAGCTGCCGGGGTGAAGCAAATTTTATCATTTCTAAGGATATGTATCAAAGCAAGTTTGTCTACGTACAAAAATTAACCTAGCGAATACCTAAGCTCAGCCAATACCTAATGTAACAAACTCGCAAGTTTGAGACCATTATCTTACATTATTGTATACAAATTATTGCATTATTGCGAATGCGGTTAGGGGTATTCTTTTAGTTTCAGCTTGTTTTTTAAGAAAAGTAATTGAAATGAATATGCTCGGTTGAAAACCGATGTACTTTCCGTTTGTTTTATACAAATTGCGTGCGGTTCTTATTACCTTTATGTTTTAGCGTCTAAATAATTTATATTTTAGTTAATCACCTAAACAGTGACCCATGTGATGGTCCCCAAGTTTCTTAATGCTTCGATTTACAGAAAGCCGACTCAAACTTTTTTCCCTTCTCTGCAAACTTCGCTGCCTAATATGAGTTTCTGCTCAGACCCGCTCTCACTTATTATAATCGACCGAATGAGGTACTTTTATTGAGGTATAACTTATTTTATGTGATAACGTAATTTGTTCTGGACGAAACTTGAAAAATGACTGAAGGTTTATTTGCATAAAAGGTAAAAAGAACTTCTCGGGTACTGTTGGCCTTGCTACAAAATCATGCACGTTAATATTTTCGTCTTTTACACTGTTCCTTGGAAGTCGGTGCGATGTTGAAATCAATCAGCTCCACAACTAAATCCTGTTGCCGTTTGGAAACAGATCCCATCATTGTAAATCTAAATGGGATGATTTCAAATATCTTGAGTATGATTAATGGATTATTCCCTCTGCGCAATGTAATTTTTCTCGATTTATAAAAATATATCATAACGATTTGTGTAAATGTTTCAACGGTCGGGGTTTAACGGAAGTTTCATGTCGAATGTTTGTGTAAATGTAGAAAATGCATGTAGCAAAAAGTACCTTTCACGGAGAAAACCCTAGAGCTGTGCCAATTTCTTTGGCTACGTGAATCGTTTCCTAAAATTCGATTGTCTGAATTTAATTGGCCTACTTGAATGAGGGCATCTTCTAAAACCCTGGCTTCATCGAAAGAGACTATCAAAAGTGAAGAATCTTACTGGCAGCTGTAGAAAGCGAGTATGACGACTGACGCATAATCTAGTTTCCTCAAGAAATCGGCTATGCAGTATTTTTCTCTCTCTCTCTAAGTGTAATTGGATCGCCTTAAGCAGAAAGGAACCAAGTCGCATCAGCTATTGCCAAATTTAATCGGGCAATTTAAATTTTTCCATGAAAACGGATGTGCGCATTATGGTGCAAATTGCAGTGAATTTTTTGCATAGTAATTTCGTATAATTATCTAAGGAATCCTCACAAACGTTCATATTGTGGAAAATGGAATTTCCCGGTTCAATTTGGCCATAGCTGTTGATGATTGGCTCCTTTCTGCCAAACTCGTTCCAATAAATAATAATGCATTCCCTTTCTAAACTATGATTAATAAATTATCTTATTATTAACAATCATGTGTTAAATATCCACCAAGACAATGTATCTCAAAGGGGCTCTGCCCTGGGAAAATATCTGGTGCCGGGCAATGTGAGTTTTTAACCGACCGAGAAACAGGCGAACAAAAAAGGATTCTGTTAATGGATTAGCTGAAGATATTATTTCATATGTACTTATTTAATTATTGACGGAGGGATTACTATTCATGGTGAGGCCGTCAAAGAGACACTAGACCCTCCACTGGCCTCCTGGCGACAGGTGGGAGCTCATACTTTCGGAGATTCAACACTTCCTTATAGACAATTAAAAAGGAGCAATAGTCATCACTCATTTTCCGGCTGGTGGATGATGTGCTTTCGGTGACGTCATAAGACAAACGAATTACCCAAACTTCGGTTTGTCCACAAAACGAAACTGCTACCACGTTGTTAACCGTCAACCAGGTAGGTAGGTCCACAGTTGAATGTTGAAGTTGCGAAAGTTTAAGCTTCCACCATTGCCAAGATACCAGTGGAGTACTGGAAAAAAAAGTCACTTGGATCTGGAGTCCAGACTCTTGAAAACAATGACAAGAAAAAATGCTCTTGATTCTATCGGATTTTTGCTTGAATCAAAAGGAAATCCGCTTAAATTTTAGAGGCTTGTCCTCCGATTTAAGCAAAAATCCGATTGAAACGAGAGTATTTTTTCTTGTCAATGTTTTCAAGAGTCTGGACTCTAGATCCAAGCTACTTTTTTTTTTCCAGTGTAGGGTCTCCTAGAGTACGTGTATAGCGAGAGTATAGACAGATGTGAAACTCCGAAAATCCACCAGGCCTTCACCGATGTCTGCGCGAATAAAGTTAGGGCCCAGAAATGCAGCCAACCTATGAATTTCAATCATCCAGATTGCTTTACTAATACAATTGTTACGAACCATCGTTTATAAAGCACGTATTTGACTTACTTTTTGCATAAATTTACTCATTTTTGCGGAAGAACGCTCGTTTATGTACATTCTTAGCCATCCTGGTTAGAATTGGAATCTGCACTGGAAAAAAAGAATCTTAAATTTGCCGCCAAGAAGTATTTCTTCTTAAATCAAGAATTTTGCTGGTTAATATAAGCTACTTTTTTGCTTAACCCAAGCATTATTTTTCTTGACTCAAGAAAAAGTCAGCTTAAAGCAAGATAAAGAAAATTCTCGGCGGCAAATTCAAGAATTATCATGCTTGATCCAAGCTACTTTTTTTTTCAGTGTGCAGACTGGCAGTGAAATTTTGTGCGTTAGAAGCTGGTTAGAAGGGTGGCCGCACTTTTGGGCCCTAAGCTCTCCATGAAGCGATCTGTCCATACTCTCGCTGTATAGGTACTCCAGGGTCTCCTGTCACAGGGCCGTCATAATACGATTACATCCGTGAAAGGCACTCTAGATCCAAAAGCAACATAAAGGAAGCAGGCGAAGCAGGTTCTACAGAGCATCTAGCAACTGGCGCAGAGCGTCTAGCTCCTACATTCGGGCTTGGGCCGGCTAGCGCGAGCGGCCTGAGGGCGGGTGTGCTTACGGGTGGGATGGAGTGGGTGATGGGATGGGGTCATACTTTCGCGGGCGGCCGCGGGACACGTGCCGTCGCTTGACAAACTCAGCATCGTCCACCATCCAGAAGGAGCCGAAGTCATCCTCATACCGTACAAAACACTTGTGGAGCGAGAGGTTGGTGCGGATCGCGTTCTGTACACACACATTGTCAACAAACAAACACAGGTGTTGAGGCCAACCACAAACATGAGAGATAGTCAGATAGCAAGTCGGTGTGAGAGTGATAGCAAAGTGCAGGTCTCTTCGGTCCACCCTCCTTCGACCAACCGGCATTCGAATCGTCGGCCGTTTCTGCTCGGGGACTAGGATCGGGTTCGGGGGGAAACTATACCCTCGGGGATGTCCATAGCTATACTTCGACGCTCCTCTGATGTAGAGTCCCTTTATACTGAGAGTCAAGACAATGTGAATCCATTTCTGATTGGTTCCCGTATTTCAGGCCTTCACAGTGTCACAAACGGGAATAAAGATTACAGTTTCACCGATTGCAAAGATTATAATCTGGAATGGACCGGGGAATTACGGGTTCGGCAAGGAACAAACGGAATGAGGGAAGGAACGAAGAAAGGAATTCGAGAATGGGCCGATCAAAGATTACGAAAAACGTTCAATCTCTGTAATCTTTATTCCCGTTTGTGACTCCATCAGGGGTGTTGTCTTGACTCTCAGTATAAAGGGACTCTACTCTGACGCAAGCACGTATCTTAATTTCAACGTGAGTCAGTGACATGGCGTGCTTTGCGATATATTGATTGTTTTGCCGTTTAAACCTATGGAAAAGAATCGATAAACAGGGTGTTCGCAGCGAAGACCTCAATAATCGATTCTTTACCATAGGTTTAAATGGTAGAACAACCGATACATCGCAATTCACGCCACGCCACTGACGTGAGTCCTATCCTGCCGTGGTAGGGAATATACGCCGTATGAGCCTCCAGACGTTACCAGATTTCCTTTGACTAATCACGTATTTTCGGGAAATTTTGCAAATGGTTTCCGCCCAATTTCGTCCTGTGGAAATCAAGATACGTCTACGCGTCAGAGGAGCGACGACTTATGATGCATATTCAGGTAGAGGACGCTGTACCTTAATACCCTAACATAACGGCGTCTCAATTGACATAGCGTTTATTTGCAAGCTTTTTTCGAAAAGCAAGACAATAAAAGCTGTTACTATATTTTCATGATGTCTGAGGTTTGATTAACTCTTCACGGATGATTCCTTAGCTCAAATTAAGACCTTCTCCCCCATTAAAAATGGATCCAATAATTTTATATCTACAAGCCACGGCGCACAGAATTTCAAAACAAATGTCGATCTTCTCAAATTCCTAAGGACCTATCAATTGCCGTTGAAAGCTTTGATCTTCACTGAACCTCTCTGAAATCGCAGTGGGGCAGCTTCACTCAAGTGTGATGTAATAACACATAGATTTTATCATCAATCTGTGTGTTATTTATTTATTTCTTTGCTCTAAAAATCACCTTCGAGTGCCGTTTCTTTATTATTCGTGGATTAATACTTCCACGAATAATAAAGACACATCTCATCACTCTAGTCCCAAACTATGAGGAAATGGGTCTGATCCTTAATGCATGACGTCTAGTCATCCACAGAATACGGCCATGTCATACTTTATTAAAACTACGACAGCATCTGATAATTTTATACTGGTGGTTATATGGAGCGCTGAGGATATACGTTTCGTCAGCACATTTGAAGCTCGCGAGCAGTGCCTTCGCGATTTCGAGGTCATTAATTGAAATTTTACACGATCTCCGAGGCTTTGAAAATATTTGACGCAGATCTCGTATCTACTTAGTTTTCTGGTAACAGTGATAGCGTGGCTTTGCTTTAATTAGTACATTGCAAGTAACATGCACTGCGTGTTGCGGCGTCGAAGTTTCCCTCTCGTTTTATTTTTATGAATAATAAGTATGTAAGAGCTCCCTTTTGTCACTGCATTTTGATGATCTAGGAAGTATTCACTAAAATCTTCAAGAAATGTGCCGTCTACGTTGTGATTTTAAGGCATTAAGTACTATGTAACTAAAATAGTGCGAATATCGCTAACATAAGAACTATTTCTTAGTTAGTACTAGTGCCCGAACCGTCCTTAAGCTCCCGGTCTAAACATACGTTTCCGTTTTTCACTCACCTTTTTCTTTCAATTACATTTTATCACATCGGCTTAAACTTCGCACAATTCTTTCTAGTCTGGAATAGCGCCGTAATGAATTAGTACAAAATGATTCTAATTTTCGACTCCATCTCTCTGGATCAACTTTTTATATTTTAAATTCATGGTTGGACATACCCTCTACACTCTGCAACAGGGAATCAATTCTTCTGCTTTGTTTTGAAAAGAACGTATGTGCTATTAGTTTCTTATGCAAATAGGCCTTTTCATGTGTAGATGAGCCAGATACGATCCACTTTTAAGTGAGTTCCACTTTTCAAATTGCAATCCTCATTGCCGAGGGGACCGGCGACGAATCGAGCGCGGTGGGGGGAGGCTTTTCTAATCAGGTTGCCAAATTGCGCGGTAGACCATGGATAATATACACGGATTTAAATGGGGGAAGTCCTGAAATTTCAGCACTGTCTGGCAGCAATGTCTCCGACGGACGAGCCGACCGCAACTAGCTTTGCCCGTGAACAACGACGTGGTCAAACGGGTGGATTGAGTAACTACTTTCGATCCAAGAGCAAAGGGAAAAAAACAGAAAATCATACTCAGTAAACAATATGGATTCCATGCGTAAAGGATGCACGTCTACTGAAGTGTAAAGAAGAGAAGTAGAAGGGCCAAATACGGGTGTGTGACAGAGTGAGATAGAGGAGTCAAAACAGGGAGAATTCGAATGCGGGGTCAGAAAGGTGCCACCGAAAGAGTTGGGGGTTGCCTACCCAGGGAGGGAGCGTTGGGGCCGGCGTTTGTAAAACTCGACCTCGTCCACCGTCCAAACAGCACCCTTGACATTCTCGACGCGCATAAAGCACTTGTGCAGCGACAGATTGTGCCGCACTGCGTTCTATACATAAAATAAATCACTCATCATGGTTGCATCGGAAAATCATTCGTAGCTTCGCTGCCCGTCAACGGACAAAAGCATTTCAAATCTGTTTTATCATAAATTGACCCTCACCCCCTTTGTTTCTTTCTCAACGAGCTTGTGGCTCTGTGAAAGAGATATGTCCAAATTCTAATGAGCCCTGAAAGATGTACACCGTCAAAAATCGAAGAGTGGAATTCGATGACGGAGTCCATACAGCATCCAAAAACCCTGAGTAACATGAATTCGAAGTGGAATTACACTGGAAAAAAAACACATTGGATCTAGAGTCCAGACTCTAGAAAACATTGACAAGAAAAAGGACTCTTGATTCAATCAGAATTAAGCTTAAATCAAAAGGAAATCCGCTCAAATTAAGAGGCTAGGTTCTTGATTTAAGCTTTAATCTGATTGAATCAAGAGTATTTTTTCTTGTCGATGTTTTTAAGAGTCTGGACTCTAGATCCAATGTGTTTTTTTCCTGTGTAGCATCATCAAAGAGTGTGACACTCTGCCAAATAAGTAGATTCCGCTCTTTGATAGTGTAAGTCACTCAGTGAGGATATAAATTCCGCACTTAAATCAATCAGGGTCATTGGGTGCCATACAGACTCCGGCGCAGAATTACACTCCAAAATGGTTAACGGTGTTTATAGAAACGCAAGTACGTAGGTAATGGTTCATCCTTAAAATCAGGCATGTTCCTTTTAATAGTGTAAATTCTCTTGAGCCGTGGTTGCAACAACGGAACATATTCATTTCCGGAAAACTCCTCGTACCGAATTTTATTGGCACTGAAATGTACTTAGGCTGAGTCCTCTCAAGTGCACTTACGGCCGGCGGAGCGCCTCTGATTGGCCGGCGGTGCTGTCTGGACCCATCGATGAATGTTGCGTCTCCGTGTGCATTTGTGCAAGTGCCTGCAAAATTCGGCCCCTGAAATACGTAGCGATTTGTAGTGTTTCAGGGCTCATTTAAAATCGGGCACGTTGCACTTAACGGTGTAAAGTCTTTAAAGCTGTTGAATGAGAATATATCAACTTCCGAGGAAGCTTTTAAACACATAAAGGAACATGAACTTCTTAGCTCACCTGAAACTAGGTAAATCCCTTCCCAACGACCATCGGTTCTGAAGCGCCGCAAACCCCCTGCTTTCATCAGCTTCCTTAATTTTTACGTGTTACTTATGTCAGCTTGTGTATTTTTAAGCATTGAGTAGTCTATCTTTTCTTTATCTCTATTCTTAGTTTCGATTACTAAGTTTTTGAATAAAATAATCATTCTGTAATTGGAAATCGATATCGTCCTCAAGTCATTCTCTCTATTCGCGTTACCTGTCAAGTAACTGAGGTTTCTTGAGGCGATTATTGTATTATTTCAAGTAGACCATTATTTTCTGTCAATATTGAATTTTTTTCTTATTGCAATGTAACTATCCAGAAAATAGGATTCAAATCTATGCCGAGACTTTATTTGTCTCAGAAATTTGAGTTTCCTGTAATAAGTGACTCGAATTTGCCGTCAAGAAAATTTCCTCCCGAATAAAAAACCAAATAGCTTGAATCGAGCAGGTTTCTGCCCGATACAAGCATATTTCTTTCCAGATCCAAGAAAAAATTCTTCCTCGCTGCCAATTAAAATCACGTCCTTTTTTCGGTGTGTATGATTTTTGCTGAAGTGTAGAACCTTATTTGGACTGAAAATCTTCGCTCCTTGTAAGGAAAACAAAAACACAATGCAGGACTATTTCAAGTAGTTACTTCTTTAAAAAAAAAAAAAAACTAGCAACTTCCACGTTTGAAAGTAAGAAGTGAAAGTGGTGAGTTTTTCCTATAACAATTACGTATATCAAGCACTTTAATAGTTTTTTAAAATTACATCTTTATGCAGGATAATCTAATAGTGATTTTTCAACTTTTCAAGAACGTCATAGTTATTTCTGAATGGAATTTGCGGAAATGAAGCAATGAGTCAAGGTGACGAAAGAAGATGAAATCTTTTAATGTAGCCAGCACTTTCCCTTCCCTCAAAATGAAAAAAAGACCACAGGGCATCCATCGAGACATCCAAGAGAGAAGGTTAAAAAGTCTCTCTGAAAAGAAAACTGAAGCAACGTAACTAAGACCACTGGAGTCCATTGATGCCCCCAATGATACGTTTGGATAATTGCTTCCCTCAGTTCACATATATTCAGCTTATCTCTAACTTTATCTACTCGGCGTACTCAGCTCATGTGCAATGCTTTCGCCACTTAATTTTCCAGGAGGGCACCTAACGTATATCAACATGTCAGATGTCGTATTCATACAAGTGTCAAGGATGTGTGAAGTTTTCCAACTTGAGTAAAGCATACGTGTTGTCTACTCACCTTCCATGTAGCAGCGTTCCGCCGAAAGTAACAAAAGGTATTTTGGAACCAATTATATATTTCGTTCAACGTTAACTGTTTATCTGGTGATTCTATAATAGACTGAAAGAAGAAAATAGAATACATTTAATCGGAAAACTGTGTAGTGATAGACGGACTGAATTTTGCAACATGGAACTACAATTTCAGGCTCATAGAGTCCCGGATAAGAACTCCTCTGTGCATAGGAGAACTAGTGGCGCATTAGGTGTTTTTAAAAGAAGCCGGAAACAGTAGTTTCTAATTGCAACATGGGGTCCAAATCAGAATATTGATTACAGTTGGACGAAGCGGTGCGCAAAGGTGATTTTTTTCTCAAGCCTTGTAAAGAAAGTATGAACCGACTGTAAAGAAAGTTGTATCAGTTGGGCTTTCTGAATCTATTTTTTTTTTTTTTATTATAAATATGTTTTGCCGTACCGTTTCTTCGTGACACTTGCAAACAAAGGGGTGTAAAATCACTATGCTTTACGGGACATACTTACAGAAGTTATCATTCTCTCGTGTTTTATTCAGAAAATCGCCGTCATTCTCTGATGGTAAACGATCGCAGCATTGACACCCTGTGACACCTCATGAGGTTTGTCTTTTAAAGTTTATCGGAAACAACAGGTATCTCGCACCTCAACAAACACATTTCCATTTGTGTACGCTTGTCTCTCACTAAGAGAGTTTGAGCCAATGATAATTATATCAAGATCTATACAGATCGGAATTATTTCCGAATCATTTGTTTCAATGGTTTGAAGTTCTTTTATCTAGCATTGAGCCGTAAATTAATTATTCTCATTAGTTTACCCAGTTCATCGATTTTTTTATGTGTTTAACGTTTGCCTTGATTATCAACGTAACATACAACGAATCTTAACCCATATATTAGTTTCAATTCTTTCGTCTGTTTTTGATTTACTTACCTGTCTAATTAACGAGGCATACGTGAATGGTGGCCGAACATCAGCATTCTTGTAAAATTCTCTATTCCGTTGAATTTCTGAAAACATTAACGGTTTGGAATAAAGTTCAATTGTTTTACACAAATTGATTATGCCGTACAGAATCTTTAATTCAATATTAATAATGTCGACCTACAAGTTCAGAAATTCAATTCGGTTAAAATGAATGGAAATTGATTTTTAGCTTGAATGTTGTTACTAATTGGAGCATATCGACTAGCGCATTAGTGCAGTAACGCTACCCACAAAGGAATCCGTTTCTGTTCGACGGGCGTAAGTCGAAAAAGTCATGAGCCTAAGCTTTTGTTGATCACGCAGGACGCTAGGGCTGAAGGGCTCATGAATCTTGAACTTACGCCCGTTTAACCAAAACTTTCGCAAATCTGATCGGTGGTTTTGTTGTCGAGATGTACTTCAACATGTCAACCCATTACATACCAGATTTTTCAAGAAACGATTTAAGAATCAACTGCGTCGGTCTTTTATCCTTCCATTTTTTTATTCTCCTTACGTAAACATTTGAATAATACATATATGGAGCATGTTGACGGTGAAACTACCTGACCACGTATCTCGTTTACGATGTTTAAAAATATCCACCCCCATTTTTTTTTCGGAGGAGAACAAATCAATTTAATGTCTTGAAATTTTCACAGTCTTCGGTTAGGGAGCCAAATACATGAAAATTATGAAGAATTGACGTTCAGCAGTTTTCCATACTGAAAAAATAGTACAACAGGAAGTCGTCGCAATCCGATATACCTTTGTGGGTTACACCGTTGAAGTGCGTCTTAGCGATCACACAAAGCACTGATTTGAGCTCATTCCGTAACTCCCCATTTGGACATGTGGTTCGGCCTCGAGGGTGTCCGGTCCTTAACACCACAATGATTCTAACAATCCGTCACTCCAAAATAATGGACTCACCTTGCTGTACATCTAACCCTGCTCGCTCCAGCATGTATGGCAATCCTTGGGAAGCGTGCGCAAAACGACTCAGATTAATATCTTCTTCAATTGATTTCACCTTCAACGTAAGTCAATAGAATGTTAAGCAAGCATCAAAAATATCACATATGTTAAAGAAATCAACCCGACAATCTAGTAGTGAATTTTGAAGGATAGCATTCTATGGATGCAGAATCGTCTGGCTTGACGCACTTTTAGCTAAGCGCCCTGTTTTCCTGCCCTCTGGCCGCCGTACTTAGCTTGATCAACGAAATTTGTATTAAAAATTGTCAAAGATTTTCCTCGAGTTAGATTAAGATAGGTTATGTTGATTATTAGTGTTTCAAAGTGAATCCTCTGGGAGAATAATATAGGGTTGGTTTGCGGATCAAACTATTTCTTAAGGTCTACTTTGTAATGGTGATGCATCTATCATTAATTTTTCACAAAGTAAGCGAAGTACTGAAGAGATAATTTCAGAGAGTCGCCAATACAGTTGTTGAAAAGTTAATGATTTTATTTTCATGGAGTGCTGTCATTGCTTACATTCAAATTGTTGCCTATATGTATAGTCCTTTCGTGGAGTTCTGTAAGGGCTCTCTGCATTTTTCTCTGTTAATCCTCTCGCTGATGATTACAATATCTTTGGTTGCCGATATATACTACAAACAGTTCGGTACATCACATACGGCATAGAATATTTTTGATATCTCCTGAGCCAGTCGCAAGAAAAAGGATTTTCCTTTCCTCGGAAGAGAGACAGATAGATAGATATGTATAAATTCAATTCAAAGATTTAACTTTACTTAGATACAAACTGAAACTGTTTACATACCGAAAACAAAAACTCGAGTGGCATATTTTACATGCACATGTAAGTAGAGGGAAGGGAAGGTAAAATTCCTCTCATCATATCCATCTTTTCTTCGCTCTGCATGTTATTTCAGAAATATCGACGGTGAAACTACCAAACCACGTATCTCGTTTGCGGTGTTTAAAAATCTACGCTCACGTTTTATTTTTTTGAAGTAGACCAAATCAATATCATTCCTTGAAATTTTCACGGAACTTTCTCCCCACAAAGAAGAAAAATCACAGAAATTTTCAAGACTGGATGTTAAGTAGTTTATTATTTAAAAAATAAAGTATGACAGGAAGTCTGCGACGTCGCAAACCGAGATACGTGGTTTGGTAGTTTCACCGTCGATATGCTGCAAGTAATCCTGCGTGTAAACTGATTTTTCCTTGTTTTTCTGTGTCATTGGTAAATTACTCTAAAGAATCGTTTATGGCGATTGGAACGAGTTCTATAAACGTAAATAACTCGAGTCCTTTTATGCATTCGTTTTCTCGTTCGCATTCTGTTCTATTTCTTCACTGCAATGCTCGCAACAGTATCTATTTCTTCGATAATTTTCAAACGAAATTCATGCATGAATAATTATCAACATTTGAGTTAACTTGATACGCATGGGCGTGTATGAGACGAAATGTTATATATTCTTACTAGCCCCTCGTTAGAATTTCAACACCTTCACTGATATTATTGCATCCAAGCTGCACCAATTTATAATCATATTTTGCTTCCAGACCCACTGTATGACTTTTGTCACACACTTGATCGAATTTTGGCAAAGGAATTTGTTTGAAAGCTGCCCTCTTGGCGACTGCCGTAAGTTTTAAACACTCAAGGAAGCTATTTATTCTTAATTTTGTCGAAGACTTATTTTCCATATTTTATAAAGCTGCAGTATCGTTTGCAGCAAGAAGTCCTATTTCACTATTTTCTCGCTTAACCTGCCCTGCATCGACCAATGGCATTTAATTGGTTCCCAAAACTGTATCGCGTAACCGTATCGATGAGACCTAATTAAAAATCAATACAAAAAATTAGGGATAATTGACGTAAAACGTTTAAAACATAAAAATCAATGAGACAAATTAACTGGTATGACTTCATCATAGCCCTTCTCATGGCATTTTCCTACTCAAGAGGCAAGCTGTATCTTTGCGAGGCGCTAGGATACGACTTATTCGACATGCTTGTCGCCGTCTGCATCGTTCGTAATTGAAGACGTTTCTTCCTTCGGCTGCGTCAAGGTCAACTTGTGTTCCAGTCATCGTAACACTCGCAGCGCGACCTTTTGTTTGTTAAACAGCTCGCTGAACAAATGTTTTGATTGCCAACGACGGTACATTTTATTTTAGGACGGTCTCGGTTCTGTTCTATCTGATATTTATCCCGTGAACTCGAAAACTTTATGCGCGGAGAGCTTTTATTGCTTGTAGAGTATATGATTTTCAGGGTTGAATTGATGCACGTTTTTTAATAAGTCAGCAGGGACTTACACTGGAAAACAAACACATTGGATCTAGAGTCCAGACTCTTGAAAACGCCGACAAGAAAAAGTACTCTCGATTCAATCAGAATCTAGCTTGAATCAAGAATCAAGCCTGTTAATTTAAGCGGATTTCGTTTCGATTCAAGCAAAAATCCGATTGAATCAAGAGTAGTTTTTCTTGTCAATGTTTTCAAGAGTCTGGACTCTAGATCCAATGCGTTTTTTTTCCCAGTGTAAGGTGAAAGATTCGCAACTACGAATCTTCAACTCTCGTCTGATACTTTGGTTTTAAATTGGTCCACGGGTAAACATCTAGTGACAATAATCAGACACGAAGCCGAAACTTCTTTTCAGTTTTGTCCGATAGGCGATGGGAGTCTTTATAAGCCTCCCTGCAACATGTCTTTGGGAAAATGATAAATTCACGTTTAGAGATATATTTTAGTTGCGTACACTCGTTTTTACAATCGTTCTGCCGAAGAATCGTCTTGTAAAGTAAAACAATAAAAAACGGCGCTTAATTATCGTCAGAAAATTACAAGAAGGGTTCCTACTGAGCGTATTTGTGGGTCAATATCGTTCTAAATTTTGTATCCAATAATTCTCCAAAGGGTTCGTCCTCATTCTGTAAGTGGACTCTATTCACTCTTGAGTCGTATCTGTTGCTCCGCTTTTGTCCTCCAGCTGCGTGATAGTTGAAATCTATCTTGTCTTATTTTCCCGAAAAATCTAGAAATAGTTTCAGCAATCATTTTGCAGGATCGATTCAACGATATTTTTCGAACGAAAGAATTTCAAAATAAACGTCTGCTTTGTTTCCAACAGAATGAAATCTTCAGATTGAATTTTTTCATGTATTTATTGTCAATTCTGTGTCTATTTTCAGCAATGGAATCATCTTAGATAATTTTTATTATTATAAGTTTTTTTAGTCTCAATCTTATTAAAAAAACTTGAAGCACTCTAAAAAAAGGGTTGGGTGCTTTTTACAAAGCCAACTTTAATCGCAGTTGTACACCTAACTATCGATATACCCTGGAAAGTACTTAGTGGAGTTTCACGACAATTTATTGGGGATGTGCTCTAACTCTTGAGTCCTGCATCAATGAGTTGGATTACAGCTCCAATACGTCACAGAACAACTCTTAATAGTTGTATGATTAGTACCAACGAGTCTGTGATGTTAGACGTGTCAAAACCAGCCAAACCATTTTTTCACTGTATCGACGTAGAACTTCAAGAATTACGTCTCCCTTATCGTGTTCGGTGATACCACTATTCAGGACTTGCGTGTGTACTTGAAACGAGTTTCGTTGCAATTTTCCATCTAATTATAATAAATGTATCCTACCTCCTGCGATGGACATGCCTGACTTTTCGCAGATCCTACGTTTGGTGGACACCCCGCTGAGGTTGTTAGTGGTGTTGGGTGTGTTCGGTCGCAGCACTGACATCGAGGAGACTATGGAAGACATTGAGACTGGTGTCGCCTGCGGAGGAAAATCCCCGAGACACATTTGTTGCTGGTTGAGGGTTTTCGTCAAACACTGTGCGTTCTGAAAGAATCCAAGCACATATTTTGCAATCCAGTATCGTAACGTAAAAATGTGAATATTCGTTAGAATTAAACTTACGTTATCACTTTTTAAAGGCTTTTGGTGATTATAAGGGAAATAATCGAAAACAGGCGACTTTCGGCAGTACGTGGTTTTCTCTGTTTTCCATCTTTTTTATTCCCTTTTCTTTTTTATCTTAATGAGAAGTGAAAAGTCTGATCAAGGTAATCCAAGTATTCGGTCACAGCAACCGAATTTTGGTTCAACTAACCAAAGACGTCGATTGCCCGAGCCAATGTTTAGTATCTGCAACTGAACTATTTTGTTCAGTCCTCTGATCCACTTTGAAACGGTAAAATGTAGTTAGCTCTATCTGAGAGGCGAGGTCGTGCGACTCACACTACCATTTAATACCATAGGTTCGTAAACCGTGGTTTCTTCTTCGTACATGCAACGTACTTGAATTGTTTAAACATGGAACTAAAAGAGCACGCGTTCGTCGGATGATATGGACATTTCCAATTAATTTTGATAGCTTTCCATTGATTGTGCGGTACTACCCCAATAAATTAGTTTACTAACCCAACCTTTGCAGTACTACCCCAACCTGAGTTGCGGCACCATTGATTGAAAAACGCCCTATCATCCAGCAAATTGAGATAGTATCACAATTTTAGGGGGTAACCCCTACTACGTTTTTTTCCACGAAGCTATCCCGAGGACATGATACATGACGGATCAGGTGCCCCCGTTAATGAATACCTTGTAAACGTCGTTCTCTAATTCGTGGCCAGCCTGCTGCTTGGCCATGTGCAGGTGGATCATCATAGCCTGGAGCCGGTCCCTTTCCTTCTGGAGTTGGAGCTCCAGTTGAGATACGACTTGCATCTGAACTCGGGTTTGCGCCGTCGATCGGTCGTCCAGGGTGTGCTCCTTATTCAAGTGCCTGGGCAGAAAAAACAAGCACGTAAGCCCTAGCTTCAAAATTTCACTTACTGATAAACAAATATTCACTCCGGCAAGATACGAGTAAATTAACCTTCGACTCTGGTGTACTTAAAGAAAAACTTTGGCCGTGGAAGCCATATACTTACGGGCTGTATAGACATATAGTCTGCTCAGGGTTCAGGGGAAACAAATTTCATGGGCCTTAGCCGTAGCTTCGACTGCTCTCGGTCAGGCAACGGGTTCCACACCTGGAACTGTCGGCTTGAGTTCGGAACAGACGGTATACGTCCGTATGCTCGTAAGTACGGCTTCCACGGCCAACTTTTTTTCAGTGTTTCCTGTGGTTTTCAGCGACTTCTTCTCCTTCCCATTTCTTAGGGTCTATATACCTAACCGTTGTTTAGTAGCGATTCTCAAATTTTGGCAACACTGTTTTTCTTTCCTTTAAACGTGTGTTAGGCAATTGATTCAAATGAAAGAAAAACAGTGTCGCCAAATTGCTTTTTGGCCCCGTCAATCTTTACTAGAAATAAGTGGCTCCTTTTGAAGAAATGTTCTTGATTTTATCGTGAAGATGACTTCCTTTTGAATCAGGAGTAAAAACACCGTAATCAAGCAGAATTTTGATTGATATTTGTAAATGCGAGTTTCTCCTTAATATGAGTCGATTGTCTCATTGATTCCAGAAAGCATGAGGGCCTTGGAGGATACAGGACAAGGCGCGCATACGTGCAGTTTTTGCTTTTTCGAGAAATACGTGTTAGAAGTTTTGAAATTACATGGATCCTCATGCGGAAAGAAAGTTCTAACTCCCTTTTTGATACTTAGAAATTAGAATTGGAGAGCACATTTTTCACAGAGTATGCATTAAGAGTAGCTTCATTTGAAATCATTAATGTATCAATTTTTTAAGAAAACTCCCTTTATGGGTCTTGTTTTTTAAACCTCTCACATTTGACCATTTTCGATCAAATCAAGTCACTTCTTCCTATTGTTTCTATCATCGTGCCAGGAATGTATGCAAGTGTAGTGAGTGAATTATAAACAAGTGTTTTCATAAGTTGAATCACAAAGCACTTTAGAATTGGAGTGCGAATTTTTCACAGAATATGCATTAAGAGTAGTTTTTATTGGATGAAATCATAAATGTATAATTTTTTTCAAAAACTACACTAAAGCGCCTTGTGCTTCAAACCCCTCACATTTGATCATTTCCGCTTAAACCAAGTCGCTTCTTCCCACTGTTTTCTTCATTGTTCCAGGAACGTATCGAAGTGTCGAGAGTGAAATGAAAACTAGTCTATTTTCAAAAGTTCAATCACAAAACACTTTCAATCATTTTCTGGGGATGAGAGCCAGTCTGTTGTCCATTTCTGACAAGCGGTCGTCTTTGCGTCCTTCTCTATTGTGGTCGTGGAACTATCAAAAACATTTTTTTTTTCTTTTTTTCTTTCCCCTTTTTTTTCGGATCAATAATTCCTGCTGGTTTCTCACACAAGTGCTATAACTGAAGAATGTAAATCTTGTCATTCAAAATCCTCACTGCATTTGGCACGTATCATACCTCATTTACTCTTTCTTTTCTTTCTTTCTTTAGTGAAAGAACATCGAAGCTATCTGAAAAATATGATTGACTTTATTGCTGCGTTTTTCGGTGTTTGTCTTTGAAAGAACCAAATCCTCATCAATCAGTCATCGGATCTACTCCTTGCGACCTCCGGCATAATACTCACTGATAAAAGGCGTGAATGTCATCGCAAACAGTCTCGCAGCCGGGCCACTTGCAGACTCCGTGACCGTACAACATGTGTAGTTTCTCGTTGTCGCCGTTTTCGTCCTCGACCCCGACCGAGCCGCCGTTCAGACACTCCCGCCTACTGATTCCCATCGACACTAGAAGACCTGCAAACATACAATCAAATACAAACCACTGGTATTAATTCATTGCGGATATTTGTCTCCCTAATCGCCAACCTTGACATTGGAATAGTGGGCCTTTAAAATGGGTAAATCAACAAAGAACGTATTAAATTTGACAACGTGGTAAATGTTCCCATCCCCAGTTACATATATACCGGGCGCTTCGGTTTAAATGAGTAAGTGGGAAGTGCTGGGTCGAAGAACCTTCACAGCAGCCCGACCACAGACTTTGACTTCCATCGTTATTGATAGAACTCAGTTCCATTCAAATGGGGTATTCCATTGGAATGGAACTGAGTTCTATCAATATCGATGGAAGTCAAAGTGTGTGGTCGGGCTGCTGGAAAAACAAAGAATCTTAAATTTGCCGCCAAGAAGTATTTCTTCTTAAATCAAGAATTTTGCTGGTTAATATAAGCTACTTTTTTGCTTAACCCAAGCATTATTTTTTTGAATCAAGAAAAAGTCAGCTTAAAGCAATATAAAGAAAATTCTTGGCGGCAAATTCAAGAATTATCATGCTTGACCCAAGCTACTTTTTTTTCCGTGTTCTCACAGGTATCAGCTGGCGCCTCTGCATTATTTCCGATGTAGCATATGCAACACAATTTACGCAATAGAGAATACGTTTTTGTATTATTTGCCAATTTCGCATACGTCAGAAGAATATCCTAAGGTAAACAATTATTTTCCTCTGCCTTTGCATAGTTACAGCCCTTTCGAAAAGAGGACGCTCTGGCTCTCGCACATGGAAAATCTGATGAAGGAAACACTAAAAGGTCGATCAAGTGGATTGAATTTTGCGCAAAGGAACCACTAGCATTGCATTGTTGCTAAGATTGTGCAACTTCTTTTGTCTTGTAGGAAAAACCCGATGATCCATTAACAGTTTCTATTTTACTCGCTAAAACCCGTGAATTTAAGACGAAAATTACCATTTAAATTTCATAGTTTTTCACGATTTCCGCAATTTTATTGCAAAGGATGAAGTTGCACAATCTTAGCATCATTGCAATGCTAGTGGTTCGTTTTTGCAAAATGCAATCCAAGTGATCGGATTTTTCATCATTAAATAATTCATCGTCAAGTTTCACTCCGCGAAATGAAATTGCGAGGGCACATTCAAACTATTTTTTCTTGTAACAATAAGTCGCTCAACCAACAAGAAGTTTTCGGTTCCAAATTTCATTTCCTATAAAATTAAAGATCCAGTCGGGACCGAAGCCGAGTGGCGCTAACTAGCGTGGGAGCTGAAAGCGAGCAAAAACTTGCGGGATGAATCGGTGTCCAATCGAGAGGCGAAACGACGTGAAACGTCGCGTAAATAATTCATGAACCGTTTTCCGAACCGGCTCGGGGGACGCGGTAGAAGCGAGGAAATATCGCCGAAACAGGGACAGCGATCCCAGCGAAGGCGCAAAGTGACTGAATTAAAAGAAAAAGGATAAAAATGATAATAAAAATAATGATTATAAACAAAGTAAGATTATCGGGGGCGAGCGGAACCAAGTCGCGCGATAAAACACCACCGCAGCGTCGAACCTGATTCACGGACATTGTTGCCGCCGTCTCGAAATCTCTCACGGACCTTTCCGCGTCGACCCTTGAATGGAGATGTTGCATGTGTGAGGGATTTGCGATTTAACTGTTGATTCTTATGTAAAAGTTCGCGAGAAACACAACGATGCCACTGGTTTTCTCTGAAATCGTCTCCTAAGCTCAAAAAAAGCTCTCAAAGTGAGGCCAAAATTGAGGGGATATCCCACCCTACCCTGAGAATCCACCTGTACATCAAGACAAATTCTCCATGCAAACATAGGGAGCAAATACATTGACAGGGCTGCCACTTCATTTGGGGACTCTAAAACTGAAAACACGGCATCACTGCTAATGTATTTGCTCCCTATCTTTGCATGGAGAGTTTGTCTTGATGTAGACGTGGACTCTCAGGGCAGGGTGGGATATCGCCTCCATGTTGGCCTCAACTTAAGAGCTTTTTTTGAGCCTGGGAGTTGATTTTAGAGAAAATCTGTGGCACCATCGTGTTTCTCGCGAACTTTCACATAAAAATCAACAGTCAAATCGCAAATTCCTCACACATGCAACATCTCCATTGTCGTCCCTCCGACGTATGTACGTATCTCAACTCCAGCGTGAGCTCCGTCTCAAGTGTGATTCCGTGTTTGCCGGGGCTCGTTTGGGAATTGAGATACGCCCTTACGTTGCAGGGGCGACATTTGTGTGAGGTAACATATTATTTGCGTCGTCCGCAGACGGTGCCTCAGCTAAACTATTAGTTGAGCTCTTTATAAAGTTATACACACATTATACAGGGTGTTTCAGACCACCCGTACCAGGCATTTTTCTCGGTTGGTTTAGGTCGTAAATTTCTCAGGATTCCTCTTTGGTCGCAAAATTGACGTCTATTCTCCAGAAAAAGACTGTTTCCCATGTAATCGACCCCGAGGACTCTAAATTTCATGTTCCCTGAGCTCCTCGGGGTCGATTACATGGGAAACAGTCTTTTTCTGGAGAATCGACGTCAATTTTGCGACCAAAGAGGAATCCTGAGCAATTTTTGGCGGGGGCGAGGCCCCCTTCCTCAGGGGGTTACTTTCTGCCGTTCAGGGGCGTCAATCAGAACTCTTAGGAGTCACTTAAGATGTAAATGTGTTCTGCTCCTCAATTTGGATGCAATCAATTTGCGATTCGGAAAGGAGCCCCGATTTTTAAAATTGGGCCCCCCGTTTACCCTCCAAGGGGGGCTAGAGGAGCTTCGGGACCATGAAATTTGGATTCCTCGAGGTCGATAACCTGGGAAACAGCCTTTTTCTGGAGAATTTACGTCAATTTTGAGACCAAAGAGAAATTATGGAGGGGGGTACTGTCCCCCTCTTTAGGGGGTCATTTTTGGGCCTTGGCTGGTCCGATTTTGGATTTTTAGGGGTCAATTCCACGTGAAATTTTCCGTGCTTTTCAATTCTGATGAGATCCATCCGCAATTCGGTCGGGAACCGTGACTTTTAGCATCGTGACCCCCCCTTTACCCCCCGAGGGGGGGGGGTGGGGGGATTTCGGGACCACGAAATTCGGATTCCTTGGGGTCAATTCCCTATTCAACCCCGCGGTCTCCGACTTCGTACGACCTATACCAACCGAGAAAAATGCCTGGTACGGGTGGTCTGAAACACCCTGTATATTAAAACAAGTGTGCAAGAGAATGTTCATATTTATTTAAAAATTACAGACAATGTGAATGATATAAAAATCGAGCAAAAGCCATGTAATTCAATGCATTCAACTACATGATGTTAAATACACAACGTCAATGTTATGGAAATACTGACTCGCAAAACTTTTTTAGAATGGCAGATGTTTCCACGCTGTAGGCTCCCCTTAAGTGCAGCAGTCAAAAACCAATGACAAAATTTCAACCAAGAAAAAAAGAATGAAGCGGAAACTACAAAGCGACTTGGTAAACTACTGAGTGAACTGAAACTACATTTTGGAAGAAATACATACTAAATTTTGATCCATGATGAGTGTAACAAGCAAGTTGAAAAAACTTTTTTGTGAGTTTTCATTTACATATTTGCCAACAATAAAAGCCTGGCGTCTCCATTAATGTTTACCTTTTCTTCATCAGAGAACGGTTATGTCCAATATTAGACTTACTTAAAGATGTACTGTGGAGTAACGTTCTCCTCTTAATTTTGTACCATGATTTGAAGAGAGAAATCTTCAGGATTTTTCCATTCCGATACTTGGAAGCAAGTTAAATTTTTTTTAATTTCTTTTCTAATGGCACCCAGCTGGGGCGCTAAGTGGCCTTTTTTTAAAATTTATTTTTATCTTTTAATGTGATTAGCCATATCCGTCAATGGTGAACCTAGAAAAATTTCGATTGTGCAAGGAAGATGGATTGAAAGCGTCTCAGAATCTGTGCATTACATACAAATTTTATTAATGTACTGATCAGTCATCCTTCAAACTAGTAAAATGTTTAACAACGTCTGAAATGGTGCAACTGGCGATAGGATTGTGGTTAAGTGATCTCACCTTCATTATGCACCCCCATAAAATGGAAGGATTCCTAAAATGAACTTCAAATTCCTTCAATGAAAGTGAAAAACTCTTCTGAAGTTGCGTGTAAAAATCAATGTCTCATTTCTGTGTTTTCAGAAACGAGTCGGTGAAAATGCCTCAATTTTTTTATTAAATTCATGGAAAATAAACTTGATTTTTCTCTTCTTTGAAAGCATCATGTCCTTCCGCGATGTGCAAAAAGAACGCTCGATAGGTATACCTATGTCATATTTTTTTCATTGTACGAGTTAAAATTTTCCGGTTAGAACTGTTGTGAGAATTTTTAGACTCTGAAGACTTAATAGCTGTATAGAGAACTTTATGGGGGGTTACAACATCCCGCCCCAATCACGTCGATGATTAGAACAACCGTCCCAACCGGATCACTTCGCATGGAAGAAATATCGTCTTTAATTTTTATTCTAACCGTTTCATTAAATATCGCGTAGATATTTCCATCTGAGAAAAATTGCCCATTCGGGCAATTAAATTACCGGCGGATTAGAATTTGAAGATTGTTCAATGGTTAGTTACTTGGCTGCAAACACATAGCTCAAGATATGTGCGGTGCCGATATGTGTCCCCCTCATTCTATGTTTTTCTCTTCATCATCATTTTTTTCTTTTTCGTTTCGACGATTTTGTTTTTCGAGCATTACTTCTCAGAGTAAGACCTCGAAGCAACTCAAAACTTTGCAAAGGCTTTGATTTTGTACGCTAAAGTGATCTACTCATATTAGTTCAAATATGGAGCCGTTTCAAAAATCCTCCGCGACTTCCTCCGATTTTCATTGTCAAATGAAATTCAAGTGCCAATTCTATAAGTTTTACAGTTGCACCAACTTTTAAAATTCAGTCCGTGAGGAGACAGTCAGACAATGGAATGGATACGCTTGT